ACTTGATTTATATATGGATTACAACTATAGATCAAGAAGAAGAGGAAAAAAAGTAAAAGGAGAATATATATATATATATATATGGATTACAACTATAGATCAAGAAGAAGAGGAAAAAAAGTAAAAGGAGAATATATATATATATATAAAAGAAAGGAATTAGATGTGAACTAGAATAACTTTCTTTCTCTTCTCTCTTAAGTAGAGAATGATATACAAAATTTATAGTAAAAGTACTATAATATTATGAACAAAAGTTATAAACACTAACTAATCATGGGAGCATAGAAGCATAATGATACATCTTCTAAGTATATAAAACCTTCCTCTACCTTCTTTGAGAAGGGCACCCATGCCTTTGCCCATTAGTCTTCTTTTGGATACTCCAATGGCTTCAGCTTCCAACTTCATCTTCTCTTCATGAATGGTGAAGCTGTTGGGGCTTGCCTTGTTTCCTCTTTTCTCTTTTTCAAACATGTAGTGTACTTTATAGGGCATTTGTGTGTGCTCTCTCTTTATGCTTTGTGGATCCCTTTTTGAGAGGCTTTGGATGTGCAATCCAGTTGCAACATGAGGTTATGATTAAATTGCATGAAAAAGGAGGGTGATGAGTGCACTTATATAGGGTAAAAGGAAAAAAAAATAAAGGGTTTTGTGGTGGTCCTGTGCTCCTACCTTTCCCTGGTCGCCAATGAAGAAACCAAACGTGGGGTTTGTGGTGGATCATATGAGATGTCCCAACAATAGAAATTATTAGATAATCTCTTACACTAATTTTTTGTGTGTGTGATGTTGTTACATGTTATTCATCATAGAACAAATATACATTATAAATATTTAAAATAGTTTATTTCAATTATTACTTTCTCTATTTCTTTAACTAGTTTTGGTTAAGGTAAAAATTGATAAAAGGTGAGAGATATAATAATTTTTTTTCAGCTGTTTGAGCAGAGTTATAGTTTGGGCCCCAACAGTTCTGGCAAGGTTCAATAATAAAGAAGAAGGAACGTTCAAAACCATACAACAAACTCTGTGTCTCTCTCCTTCCTTTTGTTTTGTTATTCCACCTCATATAATAAAATTATGACTTTCCAAAAGGGATGCTTAGGGCTTTCAATCTTATCTCCACCAAGTACTTCTGTGCACCAGATTCCTATCATCATGTGGAATGGAGAAAGTCAGAAATTCAATTTTAATATTATTAAATTTGAAAACTAACATGAATCAATACACTTTAATATATCTCATTGATTAATTGATTTTAAAAAACTAGTTAAAGCTTTATATACCTTTTTAACGACTCTCTTTTTAATTTATGATTTTTTAATTTTTTTCACTCAAAACATTGTTAGAAAAATATGTCCCTAATAATTATTTTGAAAGCTAAATTATTTTAGAAGACAGAAAATGTGATTAAAAGAGGGTAATTCACTAAAAGTGGTCAAACTATATATTTGATAATGGAGATGAAATTGATTAAAAGATAAAATATTTACAATTATATGCTAAAAGTTATTTATCTAATAAAATAAACTGTTTTTTTATAGATAAAATATGCATGGAAACCTGTGAAAGACGTATATTATTACCACTTTTGGCCATATGATCTTCTGAACAAGAATTGGTATCAATAGATTACTGTTAAGTGTTCATCACCTACACGCTACACTTATATATGTTGGTCACTTTTGCAGATGTTATATAGAAGCATAATTTTGTTTGATAAAGTAATTTAGTTCTTCATCGTCAAGAAAATTAACATGTCCAGTCTAAACAAAAGCCATAATCTACAAGAAATGCTAAAATTATATATATATATATATACACACATATGTGTGTGTGTTATATACATGGTAAAATTATGAGTATAAAAATAAGGTTGTGAAGATCTTGATCCTGTAACAGCTTCTGAACAGTAGTTTATATAATGATGACTGATTCAATCATTTTGAACAGAATCATGCTAATCCTATATGCTATGAATAGTTGGCTAAAAGAGAAAACAGTTTGAAGATCTTCAACTTTTGTCATGCACTGTTTATTTAACATTGTGATTCGCAACTTGTTTGATAAAATCTTCACCAATGAAGAGGAAGGACAAATTTTAAAGACAACATTCTCATAAAATATCATATTTGTATGAATTTAAAGACATATTTATTTTTAATATATAACACGCAGTGACCGCCTCAAAAATGAAAAAGTATATTACAAAAGTATAAACGTCTAAGTAATCATAATTTTGTTTGAAATGGTGAAAATTTTAAAATATGTGACTAGCATCTTGGAATGGAGACAATAAAACCATACATGTATAAGAAGTTATTGAAAGAATTTAATTTTCAGATAAATTATCTGGTTAACTATAATAACATAAAGCTCGTCGATTCCAAGCTTGAGGCGAGGAGAAAAGATAGTGTTAAGCTCTCAATAATTAGTGTAAAACTTGACGTTTATATGAACTTTTATTTTTTTTTATCAGCAAAATCTGTGATGAATTGTACACAGTTACATAAAAGATATATTTTATACAGTTTATTATTAGATAATCCTATCAATTCATTCTAACTAAATTCATAAAGTATAAAACTCAACCTAAATATTCCAAATAAAACTAGCTATATGGAATTTACAACCAGTTTAACGAAATTTTAACCAGTTTCCTAACACATCCTTTATAAAGTTTTAGATGAAGACTTGAAGATGGAGAAAACAAAAACAAAACACTTCATTTGGCTATAAATCAAAACCTAAAGTAACTTACAGATGTCTTGCAGCTGCGTTGATAGCAAAAAGAAAATTTGTAGGAAACCAAAATCAATCTTTGTGTTGCACGTGATATTCACGTGGTAAACAAGTTCACTGTCTCTGATGCAGAAGACATAATTCTTTTGGTGTTCCTCCTCAATTCAATTTATTTTGTAAACCACACACTCCTTTACTTGGCTGAGGGAGCTTCCTGTTGTTTTCCATCTCTTGGGTTCCAAGCGTTTCTCTTTGACTCGAAGGAGCCATTACTGGCTTGTGGCCTCACATTATTACAGGACGAATTACAGCATGTTAAAAAATATTTTATTTTGATTTAATATTTATCATTACTTTAAATTGCTACTTTTTTTTATATAGTTTTAAGTAGATCAATTATGACTATGAATTGTTTCCTACGTGCAACGGCATCGTGCATTCTGAATTATTGTGCAGGTTTAAGTAATACAGATCCCCAAAACCCTCCACATCAAATTCACCTGGAAGTTAAAATAATTGCAGCGTTGTCGATAGTACCGTAAACGATGAGCATGATTCTCACTCATTTGATGTTGAAAGGGCTAAATCAAAATTGACAAGTCAAGAACCTTTAGATGGATAGGCATCGTTCTGCATATAACTAAGCCCTGCATACCTATATTTTGAAGGAAAGTATTTTGCTTTACTGTTTGTAGTTATAAGATCAGAAACGACATTATAACTGCAGCAATAAAATTGAAAATCTGAAACTCAACACTGTAAAACTTGTAATAAGTTACAGCCCAAGGAAATTCAGTCCGAAGTTAAAAATGAACAGAGACGCAAGTATGGGAAACCTGTTTCAAGTGGAAAAATACCTTGCAATTTGAAGAAAAGGTTGGCCGTTTCACAATTTGATGAATGAGTCATTTATGAGCAACCTTACTCAAATAATAACCTGAAAGCCCCAGTTTGTTTCTTACTGTCATACTTAAGCAGAACCAATGCTCTAAATTATGGGTCCCAAACTGAAGCTGATGGTGACCAAACAGTCACATACTATTACGTAATATCAATAAGCAAGCTTGTGGAGACTACGAGCAGGACCCCTACCCAAAAAGAGCAACTTAAATGAGCATATTTGTCCTTCTGAGAGCTAGAAAATGATATGAGGAAGTCTCTTTTCAGGTACGAACGATGTCAAGCACTCCCTGCGGGAAAAAAAAGTACATACAGAGAGTACGAAATGGAAATACTTCCTTGTCTTAATGTTGTCGTACCAATTCAAAATCTATAAGCTTGTTAAGTCTGTAGTTGACCAACACAGGCTAGTGGCCATAACCCACATGTGAGGCAGCATAATCCTCAGGAGGCAACTGTATCCAAACGTGAAAAGCTGCTTCACCGCTAAGAGTTTGTTGCCCTGTAAAGCTCATACTCCGCAAGGGAGAGAATTCAACAAGAAAACTATCTTTCACGGACCTGATTGCAGTTCTTTACACCTGCCAACTTCAATGGAGCAATAACACGTGCTTCATTTTTTTATCTTCAACTCTTCATATAGTTGTTGCCTGTATCTGGCGCCTGGGACTTTGTGACCATAATTTAGTTTCGATTCAAATGTGCGCAGTGGCCATTTATTTGCTAAAAGCTACTCTTCATATATTCCGTATCTAGGTTAAATTAAAGTAATATAAGAGAATATGAATGAGATATCATGATGCTAATTAGTAATGAACCAAATGGACTAGCATTCTGGCATTGTTTTGTTTTTATCACTTGCCAGAACAAGGAAAATAGGCTGCTGTTTAGTTCTTAAGTAACTTTCCAAGTTTATATCCATCTCTAAACTTCAGTAAAATATCAGTAATGACCAAACCTGACTACTTGACTTGAAACTCCTGTTAATTTCTTAAAGAAAGGAACTTATTGACCGTCACCACTGGTCCCAATTGCTGAAAGCAGTGTAGTCTTCAAATCATTGATATCCTTAAGCAATTTCTCATTCTCCCAGGTACTCCTCTGTATCTGAACTTGTAATGCTGCATTACGGGGCATGGGGAAGTGGATTGGAAAGGTTACAAAACCTCACTGTCAATAATCAACATCTAATACTTTATTAACTTTAATAATTAGTTTTATATACCAAAATTTGTGCATATATATTAAATTCCCTGTGTATGTCGTCTTATATTTGGTTTAGAGTGAGAAAATAAATTATAAGTAAAGGATTAGCAAATTATCCCAAACAGCACAAGCAATTCTCACACAACACAGATACAACAAAAAAAAAAATGTCTCTTGCCACTAGCGATACACAGATCACAAGAGAAATTTAAAACCTGTTTTCCTATTCAATTCTTATATTGATAGTAATATAGAACTTTCATTGGACAAAGGTTAAAAAATCTACCTGAGTTCGAACTATGAAGATCTTCGAGAATCTCCTCCACAAATGCCAATACTGAATTTTCCAAGACATTATTTTTCTTATCCATAAGTTCAATTTCATTTTCGAGGGAATCTTTCTCCAACAACAAAGATCTCACTTCACAATCTTCTCTCTTGTCAATTTCTTTCTGAAATTCTAAACATAGTGTTGTAAAAGCTCCCCTGTATAAAAAGTAATCACTCAGTCATCAAAAATTGAGATGTAACCGTTACAAAAGATAATGTCACTTCCACGGAGGACTAACTTCATTTTAGAATTAGATCCCATGATGAGAAAGCTTGAAGTGAGGATTCAAATTGTATTCGAAGATGAAATACATAAACACACAGACAAATACATGAAGGCACTAAGGCATATGTTCTATTATATTAGCAACATAGCAAGCAAAGAGAAGTGAGAAACTAGTTTCGAAAACTATACTCAGTCAGCTAAAGGATCATAGAACTGGTCCTCAAACTAGATCTTATATTACTTTTAGAAATAACACGGATCCCATACTTCGTATGAATCTCCGGGGACAGTTTTTGTCATTTCAATTCCTCAAAGTGCCCCAAAATAAATGCGAAGACATATAGCAATCTTATAGCCTTACATCTACTTCAAAACTGATACTTCTTGCTTTATATGATTGATTTTTGAGATATGTTGCCGCCTATGAAAAATAACTTCAGCATTTGCTGGCGGAGTTACGGAAAACCCGGTTCAAAATTGGACTTCAATAACTTCATCTATGTATACTAATTAAGTGTTTATCAATACCGTTTTTCATCCATTTCATTAACGATCCCATCTCGCTTCATTCTAAGACTGCATAACTCCTTCTCCAAGGTACTTGCTGAAGCCTTTAAATCAGCTATAAATGAATAGAAAAACATTGTGACTATGTACGTAAGTTGAACAGCAAAAACAAGATCTCCAATCTATGAATTGTTCAAGGAAAATTAGCTAAAGATCCAAATTCCGACAAATGAATGCTCTCTAAAGTAACTACTAACTAGAACTTCAAATCTGCAACATTTATTTCGTTCAGAATTAGCTCTTGTATATGTAAGCAAACATCTCCAGAACGTCGGAAAAGGGACGGGAAACTTTTTTTGAGGAAGTAACATACATATTTAATTTTGGATGAATAAATTTAATGTCAATATAAACTACATAGACCAAGATTCATGAGTTTGGAAGAAACATATTATTGGAGTGCGCAGAGATAGATATGTTGAGTAATACTTACATTAGTGGAAAGGCTCACACATATAGTATCAACAGTTTGAATTGGATGTAATGTCACATTTGCTTATATAGTTCTCTCGACCTAATTTGTGGTGCAAGTCTGACAAAAATGCTCACTGTTAGATAAAGATGTGCATGTGGAACAGCATTCAAGCGACAACGACCCATACATCTAATCTTTTGAGGTTTTAGGTTAAAAAAATATATTAGAGGTAAATATGTAAACTTAACATGGAGTGAAAAATCAAGACTATGAACCTGTTTGGATAAAATAATGTGTTTATAGGAGTTTCCCTGTTGAAAAGAAAACTTTATTTTTTTAAGTAGCGAAACTCTCAAAAATATTTCTAACATGTATCCAAACAATCCCTGCACTGCCTTCATTTTTTTCCAAAGGGGGAGGGGTTAGTGGTACTAAGACTCATTTCATCAAACTTGTTAATTAACAAGTCCCAAAAATCCTATAGTATGTTATAACGATGTCTATGGACTTTTCAAATGAATCTGATAGGTGTGTGGGGAAAAATTATTGTGTGACTCAAAAAGAACTTGTAGCATCGGACAAGGTCTGCGACATTAAATATAAGAAAGTAAGTCCAGAAAGAAAATTTCCAGAAATTTCAAGCTAAATCACAAATTATATTTGCTTTATCAAAAACAAGTTGCTTTTCCGGTAAATATTTACATATTTATTTAAATAATATTTTTGTTACTAGTCTATTATAAAATAAAAAGCACATAACTAGGTCCTAAAATCCTAGACTAGCAGGAAGCAAAAGAAGAAAGTATCAAGAGTAGTCTATTAATTTTCGATCAGTTGATTTAGGATTTTTCACTCATGGATCAACTTATAGATGAATAAGGAATTTGAACCGTATATCATTACCGAGCAAATCTTATAAATAGAAGTGCACACGTATAACTAAATTATTTGATTGCCAAATGAGGTTTTCATGTTGTTTGTTTCTAAAAATTCAGGAATTAATTGATGACAGCAAACATCTAATACAGCAATGCATGTAACTAACTGAAAATTAGAAGATGAAGAGCGACTTGAAATTAGCAGAGTCTATGATATACCTGCGACGGTGACGTATCCAACGGTGTCGAACTGCAAGATGGCAGAGGTTTTGATCAAATCCGCTTCCCTAGTTGCCAAATCGGCCTCGATCTCCTCGCATTTGACGATGCTGGATTCAATCTCTCGAGTAATCTCTATAGTAGCCTCCATCTCTTCGTTTACCTGCTTTTCTCCAACATAAATCAACAACGAACGAAGAAAGAAATAGAGAGGATGAACACAGATGCATACATACCTGATCCAGCATTTCCTTCAGTGATGAAATGTGAGAGAGAATCGCTCCAGAATCTTCCATGTTTTCTCTTCCTCTTTGTGTTATGCAATGCAACCAACGAACCAGTGCTGCCACCACTTTCCAACAGCTCAATACCAGATTTCCCGCGCTATTTAATGTATAACAGAAAAAAAAAAATGAAGAAATAGATTAAGGATATATATAATATTTGAAAAACAAAAGAAAATACCCGTGTAACAGTTCAAATAATTCATGAGGCATATGTATAAATATAAAAGTAATAAAAATTTATTTTAATAACTAGCTGTTTTCGAACAAATTAGAATATATATGAAAATCAATGCAATGGTTCTAAGCAAGTCTTTTTTTGTTATGATTACTCTATAGGGTAAAAAAAGTCTATTAATTAATCGGAAAGGTATTCGAATTTTTAGTAAAAATATAAATCATGAAATTTAATTATACAAAGTTGAGTTTTATAGCATTCATTTTTTTGCTTTTTAAATATATTTTATTCTTACATTTTTTAATAAAAATTTATCACTGTACTCTTTTAATTTTTAAACAAACACCTACTTTTTATATTTTTAATAAACATTCTTCATTATTCTTATAATTTTAACATAATAGCATAACATTCATGTCTTATTTTATTTAAAGATAACGTATTGAATAAAAATTAACTATAAGTAATGTTTTTAAGACATAAAAGTCATAGAATTTACTATAAGCAAGAAATTAAATGATTTAATTAAAAAGTGCACTATTTTTTTAAAATGTTCTTAAATGATATTAAAATTTGGAAAGGATTCATATAATAGAAATCCATATTCGATTTTGCATATCACACGCAACAGTTGGTCAAATTTGCCGAACAACTAATAATAGTATTGCAAGGAGTGGAAAGTTATATTATAATATTGGAACTAGTGAATTGAACGGAACTATAGTACTATTAAAGAAAATAACCCATTTATAAATAACACCAAACATAAAAAAAAAAAAGTTGATAAGTTAAAAAAGAAAGATAATTAAAATTTCGTATGACTATATATCAGTCACAAATGAAATGATCAATTATAATTCGAATTGTATAGCAATGTGTAAATTTGATCAATCATCAAATATACTAGTCGATTATAAATTAAAGTATATTAACATTAATATTAATTAACTTATGAATAAGTAGCGTAATTAGATTATAACTAATAATTAAATTATAACTAAATCAATAGTAATTAAAAGTCTACCTCAAAATTTATATATTAATTATTAATTACCAACTATAGATTCACTTTAACATTAGATTATTTTCTAATCACTAAAATTGACCTAAAATCCACCTAAAACAAAAACAATGAAAATACTATTGCTTCTAAAATTATAACCCATCTTTTTCATCAGTTAACTTATTTTACCAGTAGTTAAATTTTAAGATCTTTTCTACACTGTAGTTAACCTTTATATATATATATTTCTGCTGGCATACATTTTTTAAATAATTAAACCAAAATTGTTTTAAATTGTGTTCATATGGAAATCCGCTAAAGTAGGGAGATAGAATAATGGAAGTGTGAAGATGACTTTTGCATGTATTGACAATTACATAGGTACGCTAAAAGTTAGGATAAGAAATTATGTACATTATTATTTTTTCTTGTACGAAAAATAATTCATGTTTTTGACATGTATGTCTGGATTCATTTTAATTATAAATTCATGTAAAAAGTACTTTTTCTTCCTAAAAAAGTATGGAAAATACTTTAATAAATAACGTATACAAGAAAATAAGAGTAATTTATTTAAATAATAATGTGACTACCCTTTTGGGTCTTCTCTTCTTCTACTCAATTTGAAAGGTTGTTCTCATTTGAAATCAAAAGAAAGTCCCATGAGCATGCAGACGCGGACCCTCTTTCGCTTCCCCCAACCAATTTCTCAAAACGCTGTCGTTCCCCGCTACGCCATGTCTCGTTCCTCCGAAACCTCCTTTCCCACCCTCACCACTACGTCTATTTCATTCTTTCAACTCCAAGTATCTGTTTCTCTCTCTATCCTTCATGTTCTTTGTTTTCGTTTTCCATGTTTGTGTGAATTTTTAGAGACCGCAATCTACGTTCAAGTGGCTTTCAGCTTTAAAATATTATTATCATTCGTATGATATTTGTTTGATCCTCTGTTATTGTAATGCCTTGCTTTGTTCGCTGATGGCTCTGTCTTTGTTTTTGTACAGTGCCGTGTGTTTGTTTGATTGTTGATGTTCTCACTCCGTTGTAACAGGATAAGAACGCTGACTTGTCGTTGAAGATTGAAGAAGGCTTTGGACCCAATGGGTTGGGGATTCTATCCGTCTCTGATGTATGCGCTACTGTTTCACGTGTTTGTTCACATTTTTCAGTTTTAATCGCTGGTTTAGTTCCTACAAAATGTTTATATTAACCCATATTCCTGGAAACTAGTCATTTTTGTCTTTACACGTGCACTTTTTATTATCCGATTTGGTTTTTACAATTTTGGTGCGCAAGGATTAAGATGAATTAAAAAGTGTGTGTATAGAGATTAAAATGGTATACGAACTAAATGAGTAATTAAACTTGTTTCAAATATTAACTTATGTTTTTTCAAATATAATCACTCTTTGTGTTTAATCCTCTGCTTTTCTTATAGGGAGGGGTTATAATTCGTTGATTTCTGAAGTTGCTCTTAACAGATTTAATTGTTGATGATGTTTGGATGTACAGTTGAACCAAGTCTGTAAAAGATCATAAACTGAAACAACAGTAACTGAAAGCTGTGTCTGTAGTACAGTTTACCAACTGTTACAGTTATTATTTTTTTTTCATTGAACAATGTAGTGTAGTAGCACTTACTTCCGAAACTGATTTTTTTGTACAAAGCCCCTATACTAGTTTATATAGTTGTTTCTTCTGTTATAAATTGGGAATGGGTTTATGCTATGTCCAGTTATTGTCATAAACATAATTTTTTTCCTTCATAGTGATGATGATAAAAAATGATGTAGCATCTCTGGAGCTGGCAAATCCTGTGTGTTGAATTTCTGCCTGCATTACAATTTGTGCTGTCATAATTATTTTATTGAAATTGATTACAGGTTCCAGGATACCCTTCACTGCGCAGAAATCTATTGCAACTTGCACCAAGGTTTGTGCTTTGAGATTATGTCACTACAAATATTCCAGGCGCACTAGTTTTAAATCATTCAAGGAGACCACTAGAAGATGATGTTTTTGTTGATGATAACATATCTTGAACTTTTGGTCAGATTGGCGAAACTTCCCAAAGAAGTAAAGGAGGATCTTGAAGATCCTAACAGTAGGTAACTTATCTGTATTTAAGACTTCTTACTACTAAATATTCACTTTGCATTGCATTTTCTGCTTCGTTCATTTGCATTACATATGTTTTCTTCTGCCGTTAGTTCAAGGCCCTGTGGCCATAGCTTTCTGTGGTGGCAAATAACTTATGCCGTTTCTATCCACCTTTAATTCATAGGTACAATTTTGGTTGGAGTCATGGGAAAGAGAAACTCGAGTCAGGGAAGCCAGGTACCTCTTTCATCTGTTTGACATAGTAATTTTTGGTCGTTTCTCTTTGAAGCCTTGAATTTTTTTATGGGTTAAATTTTGTTTATTGCTATGGTCTCTGGTGTTTCAACTCTGGTTGATACTTAGATGTTGAGAATATGTGCTTTATTCTGCACAGAATGGTTTTCTATGGAGACCAGATTGGTTTATTACCTATCAGATGCTTTGAATTAGAATCCCACACAGATTTGTCAAAGTTATTGCTGTAGTTACTGTGCCCATTGGAGAAATTGTTACAATTGCTTTCTGGAATCAGGATGTTAGATTGTTGAAATATAATTTGATCATTCTTCACATAAATTATGATTTCCACTTGTATGGGTTACAGCATCTAAAGGAAAGGAAGACATGCTCTGGAAGTTACAAAAGAAAGTAATGATTGTTGTGTTAAAGTTCTTAATAAAATTAAAATCTGATCTATAATTCTAGTTAGTAAATTAAACTATATGATACTAATGATATTATTTAATTTGTATCCGTGAATTTGGGAATTCTGGTGTCTAGTTGCTTGCATGCATGCATTAAGTATGTCTATTTTTGTTATCTACTTCTTTTATTCCTGGAGTGCAGATATATTAAAGGGATCTTTCTACGCCAATCCCATACTTGATACACCTACAACAGAGACTTCTTTGCTACAACGGTAATGATAGATGAAAACATCACAGATTTTTCATTTTTTTTCATATTTATTACATTGGAAAAAACTTAAGTCTAATATTGGTTAGAGAGATAGGGGCAAAACATCAGTATATGAGTTGGAACGATCTTCATATTGAGTTAAGTCCAAATCCCAATTCTATAATAGTACCCAAGATGTATTAAAGGAGTCACCCGCCATAATGCTGGACGTGAAGAGGTTTATTGGGGAAAACATAATACAGATAATGTTAAGATACAGTATATAATTAAGAGACAACTCTTCACTTTACAAACCAGTTTTGTAGAATTGAATTAAATCTAAATCGAAATTTAAGATATTATAATTCAATTATTATTCTTTTAGATGTGGCATTGACATAATTTATTACAGAATTATACTGAGTTATCACCTCAGTCAACAGGTTCTTATTTATCATATAGAACCATTGTGGTTTACGTTTTTATTGTCATCTTATCCTTCTTACTTTCTTAGTGGCATTTATATTATATTGTGTTGTTCTCTCTGAATCTCTCTGTCTATGATCATGCGCATTTCCTTGGATTTGTGTTTTCTGCAGGTATCCATCATATTGTGGATCAAATATATGGCCTAGGAACACTTTACCGGAACTTGAGTGGGTAGGCCCTGAACCTGAACTGATTCTGTTTACCTAATTTGTGGAGATATATATTGCTGTGTTTATAGATAATTTTTTTTCCTGTATTTTTACACGATGATAAGTTATGCCTTTGCGAATGCAGCAATCAACTTTTGTTGTTTCATTCTGCATGTACCTATTGTCTGTTTTTTGCGACTCTTTACAGGTCTACTGTAGATGCTGGAAACATTAATTAGCGTAATTTACACTTATTGAAAGAATATTTCATGTTTGACAGAGTTAATGTCTTGAAAATTACTAAAATGGAATTCTTGGTTAAAATATTTCCAACCAATAATTGGTTTCTTATTTATCGTCTTGAGCAGCTGAGTGCTTCCTAACGTGTTCTCACCAACATTTCCTTTGTAATTTTCTTATAGTCTTTTCATCGTTTCAGGATAGATGATTAAATTATTCTGACTAAAATTAACCTGATATTCGTACTTCTTCCAAACTATGATTACGTTAGTGGATGATAATAAATTGTCTTGGTTTATTTTTTCTTGATGCTAAAGTGATTGGTTGCAGTTCATCATTTATTTATTCTCAACGTGTAGCTTTCAAAGCACTTGGCATGCTGATATTTGATGTCGGATTGATGTTGGCATATCACTGTGATCAATATGGTAAGACAGGAAGCACTATTTTATTTGGCTTTAGACTTGAATGGTCTATGGTATTCACCAGGCTTTCTATTTTATTCCAATAGCTGCCTGTGGGAAGTCCGACCTACTTTTTGCTATTTTTATTCCTTGTAAGTTAAATTTTCAGTCCGATTTTGAATCAAGTAAGATTTTTTTTTTCGCTAGTTTTAAGTGACTTAATTTATAATAATATAGAAGCTCTTAGAGGTTTTACATGGCATAAAAAATAATCTGGTATAGAAATTCTTTCTTGAAAATAACAGGATTTGATTTTTATCCCCTGATATCTCATGGAATTGTTTTAAAGGATATAATACTGTTTCATTTTAGCAGTAGTAGACGTAATTTACCTCAAAGCATTTTATTCCTTTTTCCCTCACTCGCATTGCTCTCTAAGCTAGGAGTCATCCTTGAACGTAGATCTAATAAAAGGGTCACATATCACAGTGTTATCCATTACATGCAAATAACGTTGGGCGTTAAAGGGACCCAACCCCCCTTCCATTAGATATAGAGCAAACAAAGAGTATGCTAATGGAGGGGAGCCTAAAAAGAGTTATGTAAGTGGAGGGCCAACCTCAAACCTCACCACTGTCATGGCAATTGTCAACTCACCATTTCTTTTGTGCTCATAACAACCCATTTACTTTTGTTTCACATTCTAATTTCTGTCCTAATACATTGTCACACTCAAACAATTTGTCAGTATCGAGAGGGATGAAAACTCGTAAGGATGAAGGTCTGGAATCAATACTTCGTCGCTCCCGCTGTCACAAAGGACGTTTGCTATATTATTTTCCTTCCCAACAAGGGTAAATATGTCGTAAATTGTCTCCTTGCTTGTTATAAGATTTCTGTCATAGATAGTGTTCTCTAGTATTTTTTTCTAATTGGTGACATTAAAGTCAAGACAATGGTAAACCTTAAATTGTTTTAATATTAATATTGTAATTAGATTATGGTTTTATTATTTCAAAATCATTTGAACTAGAATGATATCACATTAAAAAAACATTATGTTGGTTTTTTCTTTACATAAAAGTATCTATGTGGTTGAATTTATGATCCTATTTAATCCTACTAAAACCCCTCATCACTAAATCAATCTCACTGGCTATTTGGTATCCTTATTTTAGTTTAAACCCTGATTATAGGGGTTCTAGTAGAGGTTGGACATCTAATAAAATTATCATCATGTCTCGAATTCTCAAAAGACTGGGATAATTGAGGTACAATCTTCAGCTAAGTAAACATTTTCTATCTAACGAAAGTTGTGAAGGAGATTGAATGTGATGCTAGGAGGAACACTTTATTTTGATGCTGTTTAAAGGGCATAACATTTCTTTCTATGTATAGCCTGGGAACCGTAAAGCTTTTCAGCTCACTCAAAATGCTGTTTAGAGTATATTTTAGTTCTAAGTTGAATAAGTATAATATACAGTTATATACCTGAACAGCACAGACATTTCTATTTGTACATGTTCATAATGCATGAATATAATATTAACGATTACAAATGATTTTAACAGAGATCCCAGATGGTAACTCTTTGTTCATCATGGTTGGTAGGATGGCAATACTGAACCCAATGGTTACACTGACATGTTGATTATATGTTTATTGTTATAGATAATGTGTTGTGCTTCTCATTTTTTTCATTCAGTGTAAGATTAACTTTTTATACCTTAATCTTCCTAGTTAACTTAACTGGAGAAGTTCGTGGACATTAATAAATTAAATTGTTGCAAAGAGTAACAATATTATAGTTCTTCAGATGCTATCATTTGCCTAATTTTCATTTCAATTCAATATGTAGGTCTAACTTGTGGTATGTTTACGAAAGATGGTGTAGAAATGTCTTGCCCTGATAGTGCTGCTGGCCTCTATATTCGAACAAGAAGTGATCAAATTGTCAAAGTATAAATTCTTCTAGAATTACAAGTAACATTAATATATAAATTATTAATTAAAACATATTGCAACATTAATTAATACTGATTCCTGTTAATCTTTCTCTCAATGTGAAGAACCCGTCCTTTCTGGCAGTTAAGTGTTGGTAAATTTATCCTTTCTTCTTGACATTGTTGAGTGATTTTGGATTGGAATTTTTTTTTTTGTGAAGTGGATTCAGATGCTTTAGATAGGGATTGGTGCAATTTTAATAGGGAAATGCCGGTAAATCACTCTTTAATAAGACGTAAGAGTGACTTCGATGATTTAGTAACTCACGAATTTCATCCAATAATGTCATTTCCAAGAGTATATTGCTAGAAAATTACATAATTATTAAAAAATTACATAATTGCAACATTAATACTGGTTCCTGGTTAATCTTTCTCTCAATGTGAAGAACCCGTCCTTTCTGGGCAGGTAAGTGTTGGTGAAATTTATCCTTTCTTCTGACAGTGTTGAGTGATTTTGGATTGGAATTTTTTGTGAAGTGGATTCAGATGCTTTAGATAAGGATGATGCAAGTTTAGATAGGGAGATGCCGGTAAATCACTCTTTAACATGAAGTATGAGTGACTTCGATGATTTAGGAACTCACGAATTTCATCCAATAATGTCATGTTCAAAAGAGTATATTGCTAGAAACATTTCCTTTGGTAGATAAATATGTCAATTCATATGACAGAATATAATGAAAAAGTTTGTAACACGTGGCTGCTAGAAGTATTCCTTAACTTAAAAAATAATAAAATCATTGCTTGAATTATTGCAAATTTGAAGCTTAGACTTTTCGTGAATGAGTATAATGCATTTAGTCATTGTTTTTTCAATATTATAGGTTGTCTTCGGAGTAGATGATATAGCATACCAAATTGGTGAAACCACTGAAATACTTTCTGGAAGTTATCTTTGTGCAACACCTCATTGTGTTCAGGTAATTTAGAAATTCCAATGACATACATATTTAATAGACTTGTAGAATATGTCATGGTCATCCCGTCGAAGTTGTTTCGTATATTCCCTCTTCTGTCTTTATGCTTTGCATCACTGATAGCTTGTACACATGCTAATTGTTGATGTCATAATTATCTCTCCTGATGTTCTTATTCTTCAGTGATTTTCAATATTCTGAATAATGCTTTATAAAGTTCATTTTAGAAGAAAGTGTTCCTGTTTGTTTTCCATTTATTTACGAAGTTATGGGATGCTGGTAGTTTGAATGTTAGATAGCATTTTCTTAGTTTGCTTGGAGATCTACTCAATCTTACATAGACAGATACGTGCTTAATGTCCATGATGTAACAAAAAAAAAAGCGTAGTAATAAGTTTGATGTCAAATATTTATTGATTAATTCATTAATATTTATATACAAATTTTTAAAGAACTTTGCCTAGTGTTTCCCTAATATTTGGCATCTATCACCAAATGCAATTTCTTTAACTCAAGTATTTCCTTTTTTTGTTCAGTTTCCATAAGCAGTTTTTTGTAATAAAATGTGAATGCTATGATACTTTTAGGCTCCCAAGGGGGAGAAGTCTTCTGGCATTGAGCGCTCGACATTTGCATTATTCATGCAACCGGACTGGTATGCTCTCCAAGTCTGAACAATAATGCTGGACTGTTCTGTTGCTTAATTTATGTCAGGAGCTATCTTCTGTAGAAAGAACATTAGGGAAATCTCAGGTCAGTGATCAGTTCTATAATAATGTGTCATTAATTATGCTTTACAGGGATGAAAAACTCAATTTCCCCGAGGAAGTTCGCATTCATAAAGAGGTATGTATTATTCTTGAGCTCGTGATAATTCTTCACATTTAGCATGAAATAACTTACCATGAGATTTGAATTAGTAAAAGATGACATTAAAAGAAAGAAAAGAAAAGGGAGTGACTTTTGCAATATCATATGTGGCATGCTAGGCAATAACATTTCAGGGTTCCACCCAAAAAGTATGGTTTTTTACATAACCATTTAGTAACTACGAATCCATCTTACTTTGAAATCTGTGATGTTAGAATTCTGCCTGGTATAATCTCGGTATGTTGATGATACGGCCTGAACCTGCTGCTTCCTTTATATTAAATGAGGTAATCCTTGTTTCTAATGTCAAAAACGAGCTTATGGGCTGAATTTTTATCATTTCTTTTCCAGCTTATTCCATCAAATTCTGCCCTTACTTTTGGAGAGTATTCAGAGATGCTGCTGGACAAATATTATCACCAAAAACAGTAATGTTTACATCTTGTCTATTGATGTTGATCAAACTAACCTATGTTT